CAGGCTTCCCGCTGAGCAGGAAGCCCGATGTGGGGCTCGATCCCAGGACCCTGGGATCATGACCTGAGCCGAAGGCAGACGCATAACGACTGAGCCACCCAGGCACCCCTCTTATGTTTCATTAACCCAACAAACTACTTTTTCATAGATGTTGATAACTATAATTGGTTATCACAGTTGATCCTTATATGTTATGTAAGATCCTTTTGAATTGAATTGAAGAAATAATACTATTTACCAGCTGTGTGTCCTTGAGAAATATTTGTTTCTAATGCTGTTGTGCAGTAATAATAAGGTTACTATAGGGATTCATTGTTTATTGAGTACCCGTTAGGCAGCCAGGCACAGTTCTAAATGTGGGATTTAGAATGGTGGACAAGACAGACAAGGCACTTGCTTTGGTGGTGGTATTGGGTGTTAAAGGAATGCCTTGTTGAGGTGAGGACATTTAAACTGAACAAAGAGGAGCTAGCTATTCCAAAATGAGGACAAAAGCATTCCAACTGAGCAAACTCCTAGTGTGAAAACTTTAAGGTGGTAACATGACAGGTGTGTTTGAGGAACTGAAGGAAATGCAGTGTGGCAGGAGTATAATTAGTGGTAAGGAGACAGGTGATACAGTTGAGATAAGAGAGATTAGCAGAGGTTATCTCATTTAAGACTTTTAAAACGAATGTCTGAAGTTTAGATTTTTGTCTTAAGTGTGATGGGAAGCCACTGAAAGGCAGGGGAGTAAAATGATTTTATTTTGGTTGCTCTGTGGAGAATGGATTTTAGGGGGACAGGAGTAGAGGCAGGGAGTCTGTCCAGGAATCTATCTTATAAGAGATGGTGATGGTAGTGGTAGAAATGGATGGATTCTGGTATGTTTGGGAGGTAGATTCTGTATGACTTGCCAATGGATTGGATGTAGTGAAGGAGAAAGAACAATTTGAGAAGTTTATATTTTTGCCTTGAGCAACTAAGTAAATGGTGGGGCCATTTACTGAACTAAAAGAAAAGTAGGAATGGAATAAGTGTGGGGCAGGAAATAATTCTGTTTTAGACATAAACAGCTTATTAGAGAACCATCTAAAAGTGTCATCTAGGCAGTTAGTAGACAAACCTGGTGTTTCAGGAGATCATTAGTTCTGAAAGTTAAATTTTGGGGAATTAGAGCACATAAGTAATAATTTTAAGCTATGGGATTAAGTAAGATCCCAAGAGCAAGAACCAGGTATCAAAGGAATGCCAGGACAGAGCCCTTGGGGCACCCAGGCATTTAATAGGAGCAGAGGAGATTTGAGGAGTAGCCTCAATCTGGTAGGAAGGAAACTAAGAAAATGTAGTATTGTGCAAGCCAAAAGAAGAAGGTGTTCTGAAGAGGGTATGATCAATCCTGTTAGGTATCACAAAGAGATATGAACAAAGAAATGGCAGTTGGTAGCATGAATGTCCTTGGTAGCTTCGGTTTTTGTGGAGTGGTGGAATCATGAGCATGATTAATGGGACTGAGAGAAAAGGTAAGACAGGAAGCAGCCACATAGACCCTTCTTCCAATAAGCTTTATTGTTAAGGAGACTGGTGATAAGGGGGAGGAATTGGGGAGTAAAATGGGGTCATAAGACGTGTTTTTTGTTTTAGTTTGAAGTGGGAGATTTTAGGGCATCTTTTATTTTAATAAAAGATACAATGGAAAGAAAAAAGTTTTAGCCTTTAATAGGAAAAAAAATTATATCTAGAAGGCTGGTGTAGATATGGATATGGTCAGTTTGTTGCTTTGATGAGAGGATGCTTGCTTGAATTCCTGTGTAATTACAGTTACTTCTGTTTTCTTAAAAGAAAGAGGTAAGGTCTTTAGCTGATTAGGGGACAGGTTAAGAGATTTGGTATGTAGGGAAAATAATACTTGAAGACATTTTTAGGGTTTTCTGGAGGTACCAGTGTCCATAAAAATCTGTGGCTCTGAATATGATTAAAAAGTGAGATGTACATTTTTTTAGAAGCAGTTTTCAGATGTTTGGATATAGACATGGATTTGAGTTTGCTGGGGTTGGGATCTTTGCTAGGCAAATATGATGAAGAGAGTTAAGGATATTCATAAGGACATAGCTGTGGTGGCCATGGAAATTAAAATCAAGAGGGGGAGTGTAAGGACATGAAGTGGATAGTGAGAAAGTGGTAGGGTTAGTGTCTATGAGTCTCATTGGCATTGAAGAGAATTGCCAGAGTAGGTAACCTGAAATGATGAGAAATTGTGGGTACAGTGGAGAAAATGCCTAAAATACAGATTTAGGGGTAGTGCAGAAAACTATGATGACAAAGTCAAGGGTATGACTGTAGGGAATGGCTGGGCTGGGGAAGGGTAATACTTAGAAGCATGGATGTTGAGGAAATGTGTGTGGATATTGAAGTAGCCAAGAAGTTGATAAAGATGGAAATCCAGGTGCTAAAGTTATTAATGAAAGAGGATGGACTTAGAGTTTCAAAATAGCAATAGGTATAGGGGTTATTTATTTCTACTTCTTGGTCCTGAGGTACAAGGGGTTGTTGTGGGAAAAAAAAGTATGTATCAGTCTAGAGGGGCACTGCGATTTAGGCATGAAGTTGAAGAGATTAATCAAAAAAAGAGACTGATTATGAGAAATTTAGACCATGAGGACATAGTGAAAATGACTAGTAGGGTGAGAAGGGTGGGAAATTGGATCAGATTAGTAAATGGACACACTTGTATGAGATTGACGGTCTGATACAATGGTGACATAGGAAAATCATTTTTGAGGTATGATGGCATTAATACTAATTTTAATAATCTTTTGGAAGAGTTGGGTAACCTGTTCAAGCTGGAGATTATGAGGCTCCTGGGAAAATTTTGTTTTTGTATAACTAGGTAGCCAAGGCCTCCTTGGGGTCAGGGGCTTATGTTTTGCTTTAAGGTAGTCTGATCCCAAAGCTGTGGGACAGACCCATCTCACCTGTAGCAGCCTTTTCTTAGCTATATGGTGTTATGACAGCCTCTTGTCTTTATTAAGTCAGTGCCCTGGGGCATTATTAAGATGAAATGAGTGTTCAGCATGGAAGCATTTGTTCTTGGCCCAGGAATGTTAGCCATTACCAAAATGAAAAACAACATGATTCACTTTCTGATAATATTTGCAGTTACATTGTTAGTGTTGTGTAGGCAGAAAAACAGATAATACAGTGTGTTAAGAACATAGGCATTTTGGAATTAGATAAGACAAGATTGGGATAATGGCTCTAACACTTAACTGGAAGATCTTGAGTAAGTTTTTTAACATTGGTTCTCAACCCTGGCTGCTGGTCACAGTTATCCATTAGAGTTTTTAAAAATATATATGCCTAGATCTAGTTTCGGACATTCTTAAGTAGTTCTGGGATTGGGCCTCAGTTCCATTATGAGTCAAACTGAGTAATATTTACCACACAGGGTTGGTGTGAAGGTCAGATGAGATGATGTTTATAAATAGTTTCTCACAGTACTGGGCATGTGGTAAATACTCAATTTGATGGGTTTTATCAGGGTATAATAAGTACTTTCTAAGATTTGGTCAAATGAATGTAAAGATCTCAAGATCTGAACATTCCTGATAAATTTCCACAAGCCTTTCTCATACTTACATAAAGACCCATATGGTAGAAGATTCATTCTGGTAGAGATTGATTTAAACATTTATTAAGCAGCTGCCATGTATGGACTGTTAAATTCTGCAGGTGTGCAGAGATGAATAAAAGCAAGTCTGTAGACGTATGAGTTTAGACAAATGCAGTCAGGGCCTACTGAATGACGTGGGGTATACATGGAAAGAGCCCTGGACTAAACAATGTAGGCATAAATGGACTTTTCTCTGCTGTATATGACCTTTTTGAATGTTGTTCTATAAGTCACTTAATTCCTAGAAGAGGAAAAATGAATCCCTAAGATGTATAAGAATTTGTACTAAATGGTCTATATCCAGGGTCCATATTTTATAATCATACTTTTCCTGCCTCTGAATCAGAGGATAGTTTTAGGAAATGTCTGCTAAATATCTTTCACATTCTTTATATTCTCCTTCAGGTCGTAATATGGACTTACCCTGAATTTAGTTCAGTGGAAATACTAATTTTTTTTTTTTAATTAAAATATTCCAGATGGCATTTTAATTTCAAAATCTTTAAGTACGTTAGACTCCTAAAACAGCAACAACAACAACTAGGTTTTATTCGTTCCTTGAAATACTGTGACTATCTTACGTAGTTTGACTAGAGGACATTTTGAGACAACATACTGCCTCACAATAGCACTCACTTTCTGTTCAGGTATTTTCAAAAGAAAATGCATATAAATTACTATGGCTGTCTTGGACTTTACGCCAAATTTTACTGTTTTAAGAGTTTTAAGAGCTCCTTGAAGACAACAGGGGTTACTACTTTTTCCCTTCTAAATTTTGGCACATAACAAAGTCAACAAATGGTAGCTGAATTGAATCTAAACCTCTACACTGCTAATCACATGACTTCTCAAACTTTTAGGACATCTTTTTCAGTTTAAAGCTCTGTCTAAAAATAAAAACAGATGGGGGGTGGGGAAATGGCTATATGTTTAATTAGACAGACTATTATCTATTTAATTAGAGCCAGAAGCTTAGGAGTAACCCATAACTGAATGCATATGGGATAGAAGGAGCTTTTTTATTTTTTCCTTTTAATTGTGATAAAATATATATAATGTAAAATTTTCCTTTTGACCATTATTAAGTGTACAAATCAGTGGCGTTGAGTACATTCAGAATGTTGTGTGACCATTACCACTATCCACTTGCAAAATTTTATCATCACCTCAAACAAAAACTATATCCATTAAGCAGCAACTCCCACTCTCCCCTCTCCCCGGTCCCTGGTAACTTACTCACTTTCTCTCTGAATTTGCTGTTCTACATAATTCACATAAATAGAATCATATTATAATATTTGTCCTTTTTGTATCTGCTTTATTTTACTTAGTAAGTTTTCAAGGTTCATCCGTGTTGTAGCATGTGTCAGAACTTCATTCCTTTTATGGCTGAAAGGAGCTGTTTTTATCTAGACAGAGGTGGATTCCTTTTTTCCCCTTCTCCCTTATAAGGAAGACACATTTCTTAGAGCACAAAAGGTCTATATTGTCATATCAGAGATACTGGCCTGGGTATAGGTAACTCATTGTTTGGGATACTATATTATTTAAAATTGTTCTCATGGCATCTTGCCTAGGTACATGAAGAGGAAGTAGGAAGTACAGATGACATTCCATTGTCAGCTTCCCACTGACAGGGTTGGGATGTATGTGCATTTCTGGGAGGCAGAAAACAACAGATACCTAAATAATGGGCGTGGGCCTAAATTCCATAGATTAGGACCTGACAAGCACATTAGTGTTATCAGTGCAATCTTACTTCCTTTCTCCCTTTTGATTTTCTGTAGTCTAAGCTTAAAACTTTACAAGGAGGCGCACCCGGGTTGCTCAGTCAATTAAGCGGCTGCCTTTGGCTCCGGTCATGATATCCAGGTCCTGGGATCAAGCCCCACATTGGGCTCCCTGCTTATCGGGGAGTCTGCTTTTCCCTCTGCCTCTTCCCCACCCCCCACTCTGCTCAGGCTCTCTCTCTCAAATAAATAAAATATTTAAAAAAAAATAACTTTACAAGGAAAAATGTTTTGTGGAGACATAGCAGAACTAAGCTTTACTTTTAATTTTACCAGGTTCTTCATTAGAGGCTGTAACCACCTGTGAACTCTGTAAAGAGAAGTTGCAGCTTAACCTGGAGGATTTTGATATTCATGAACTACATAGAGCTCATGCAAATGAACAAGTTAGTATATTTTGCCTAATTTGGTAAGTGTCTATTCTATGCTTAAAGGACAACTCTTGAAGAAAAGATTAAATCATGGTCAGAAAACCTGCATTGAAATAATAATAGTAATGTTTTTAATATAATTAATTCTCTGTTATTACATTAGGTATTATATGATTTTATAATTTTGTATTATTTTTCCCCTAACTTTTTAAAGCGAAAGGCAAATAACCAAGTCACAGATTTTAAGTTTAAGGTAAAATTCAATGCTTTCTAAATAAACCTGAAAATAATAAAAGCTTAGGAAATTAGTCCCAAAGTAGTAGTAATGCCAACCTTCTCTCCCCATAGCTGTCTAGTTGTGGATGCCTCTGAGTACTGGAAAATAATTGAAACACCAGTCCCCAGATCTGCATCCTAGTTCTGTATTTTTTATGTTAGGAATAATTTTTTTACCGACCTACCTGATGCCCCCAGTTCTTCCTCCTGTCTGGTTCCCTCTACCCTCCCTATTTCCCCCCATTCCCACTTCATTCTTTATGTTGAACAAGTTACCTTTTATGAAATCATTTATTCCAAGTTCACATTGTTTCTCTTTCCTTCAGTATTGTATCACTACAGTCGTGCTGTTACTTATATAATGAATAATGTCGGGATTTCTCTGATCATATTAAGATTTTATTTCAAATATTTTCCTCTCATTTCTCAGATTTTTTGGTATGTATTGATCACTGCTCCCTACCCCCAACCCGCATTGATTTGATCACTCATTTTTCTTGAAGCTTAGAGCTCAGTATTTTTCCCTTTATAAAGGAAAATTCAGGGGAGGCGGGGAGATGTTGAAAGAGATTACAAAGGTCGACTCTAGAGCCATACTGTCCATGTGTGCTTAGCATATTTGTGATAAAAAGAGATATGATGGTGAGAGAATGCATGAATGCTTGAAAAACACTTTTTAAATGAGGGAGTAATGGACATCCCCTCCCCCCCCCGCCCTTTTTAAATTGAAGTGAAGTTTATATAACAACCATTTCAAGGTAAACAGTTTATTGGTACTAGTACATTTGCAGTGCTGGGCAGCCATCACCTCCATCTAGTTCCAGGACATTTTCATTTCTAAAAGAAAATCCTGTACCCATTAAGCAGTTGCTCCCTCCCCCTTCGCCCATCCCCTGGCAACCACCAGTCTGTGTTCTGTCTCTATGGATTATTCTGGATATTTCATATAAATGGAAACATGCAATATATGATCTTTTGTGGACATTCTTCACTTTTTAAATGTGGGAATATGGATACCCTTTGAAAATCTGGTTAAGACCAGAAACACTCCTTACAAAATATATATAGACACAAAATCTGTACATAATTTTACAGATTCTCAGATCTCTTGAAGCTAATTGCTTACATCCAGGTTAAGAGTCACTGATCTAATGAATGAAACATGAGGCAGTTGCTGTAGTACAGATGCTACTCTAATGTTAATTATTGTTTTATTCTTTAATGAAGAATACTCCAAAAGGTACTCCAAAGGGAATATCACTTTCAGTAAGGAATTGTCTTAAATTCTTAAGACATCTCTCTAGACAGCTGGACATTGGTATTTTAAAGAATGGGGTTGGGGGAAGTATGGAAGGGTGCAATAATGCAAAGAATTTTGTGGTTTTTTGTTCTTGGTTTTTTTGTTTGTTTTTGTCTTCTCAAAATTAGAGTAGGTTTCAAAGGATGGTTTTCTCCTGCCATTCTTTCTTAAGTGCTCCATCATGTCTCTTGAAGGTGGTTTTGGCTTTTCAGTATAGCTAGGAATGTTTTTATTCTTCAAGGATTTAAATGACAGCCTTGATTAAGCTTCCTGGCTTTAACATCTTTGTTCTTTGTGAATCATGGATTCTAGTGGCCTGACAACTACCCTCATTTAAATACAGTTTATTTTTTCATTATCCAGTGCCTTCATCTTTTTCAAGGTGATAACCATTAGACTCTTCTTTAAATTTTCTAGATACATGATTTCCTTTTAAGTTAAAAATAAGCAGTTAATGAAATATTTAGAGAAACTTTTAATCAGTTTGAAATTTGTTGAGTATTCTGAAGAATCTGTAATCAGTAACTCGCTCTAGTTCATACTAAGAACATACAATTCTTAACTTCAGATAAGTTATTATCAAAAATGATGCAGGGTGCCTGGGTGGCTCAGTCGTTAAGCGTCTGCCTTCAGCTCAGGTGATGATCCCAGGGTCCTGGGATCGAGTCCCACATCGGGCTCCCTGCTCAGCGGGAAGCCTGCTTCTCCCTCTCCCACTCCCCCTGCTTGTGTTCCTGTTCTCGCTGTCTCTCTCTGTCATATAAATAAATAAAATCTTGAAAAAAAAAAAAAAGATGCAATCTACAGATAGTTTACTGTGTAACAATTACAGAACAATTTAGATTTTTAATAACACTATATTCATGTTTTGTATTCTTAGCTTCGAAACAATAGAACAGCTTTGAACCAAAGAACTATTTTGCCCACTGCAAATTTCTATGGGAATGATATCTGGAAGTTACTTTACTACCTTTTTTTTAAGTTTATTTTTCTATCTGCTGTTGCCTTTAAATTAGTTAAATTACATAAGAAACACTTGACCTCTCAGAGTAGGATTTTAGTTACGTAATATATTGATATAGCTGTAGATGAAATGCTAATTTTTAAGTAAACAGTTATAGCCATTTGTGTAAAGAAATCTATTTTGAGGTTTATAGGGAACCAGAGCATTCATTCTACCATCAAATGAATTTTTTCCCACTTTTATATAAATAATTACATAAGGGAAGACTACATGAGAATAAAGAAGTTATTCATGCACCTATTTGAACACATTATAAAGCATTAGTAAAATTTCATGAAACTACGAAGGATGGCTTTTTATTTCTTTTTTAATAGATGGCACTGTATCTCTTCCTGGGAACTGATTATAAATACATTTCCTCTAGTGTATCAGTATACCATGAGTATCAATCTCATTCTACTAATTTTTCATTCTCCATATTTTTCTTTTTCTCTTGTTTGCTTCCCTGTTGAAGGCTGAGTATGAGTTTATCAGCTCTGGTCTCTACCTAGTTGTGTTATTGCACTTGTGCGAACAAAGCTTTTCTGATATGATGGGAAATACAAATGAACCAAGCACACGTGTCCGAGTAAGTAATATTGGAGTTGGGGGGATGGGAGGGTGCGATGCTGCAAGTGTTTGCTTTGGAAAGCACATTGTTTTATATGTTCACATTCTATTTTCTTTGGGGAGCTCTTATATTAAAGTGTATCTTAAAAATAAAGATATTGTAGATTTAATAGAAATTGCTGTCTTCCTTACTTCTGTATCAAACAGCTTAATTTTTTCATAAAGCTATTTTTAGAGAAGTAATTTTCTAGCTCTTGAAGGTAATTGGAATATATTTCAGTGAGAAACAGGGATGGAATTGAAAACACCTAGGGGAAATGCTCTTTTTAATTGGGGAGGGAAAATCCAACTCATTATTACAACTTTGAAAACTGACATTGAAATTGAACTCCAAAATCCGAAAGAGTATGGGAAATTAACTTCAATTTCATTTGTTACTGTCCTATAAAAGATTACCAGTGTACTAATTTTTAAGCATTCATATTACAAACTACTGAAGATATGGACCATTGTGTGTTTACTCTGTTCACTCTTGTCTTAATGTAACACTTGAGCTAGCTGTCTTTTAGGTGCTCATAAGTAATCTTACCTCAGTGTACTATAGGGAATTTATACTCTGCTGCCTTGCCCATTTTGTGTGGCAGGGGCTAGGGTCTACATCTCATTACTCTAGCATTGTGAACACTTCATATCTTGTAACGTGTTCACAAAGATATACTTCAAACTATTTTTTAAAACGTTCACTCTGATGATAAAAATAGAGCCAAGTTTCTGGTGGAATGTAATGTTTCTGTTTTATTTTGAAAATTATCAAATAACCAATACATATACTGCTTCTTAATTGGTTAAAAAAGCATTTTTCTGTAATCATGTGAACATTATTCCTGTGAGCCTTTTGGACATTATTATCATTGAGAGAAAAAAGAATGAGCTACCAAGAGCATTCAGAACTTGAGCAAAGATCTCTTGACTTCTAAGGACTTAAGAAATCATAGAATCTAAATTTAGTAAATGCCATAAAATTATTTCTTAAAAGGTGACTTCTCTTTTCAAAATGAATAAACCTTATATAATGCATATAATAAGATCTGTTGGATTCATGCCTTTGTAAAAAGATATAGACAAATTATATTAAAGTGGAAGTCTTTACTGAATTAAAATACTTCTGGAGCTATCAAATTTAGGCAGGAAAATATTGATTATTGTTCCTGTTCTGTTGTTTTTTTTTTTTTTAATTGACCACTAAAAGTGAATTCATTTGTGTCCAAATTGTAATGGTTTTAACTTTTTTTCTCCATAATTTTTGAGGTGTTGTATTTATGCAAGAAGACAGAATGCCATTGGATAAAATTATTTTATTGTATCTGTTTTCAGTTTCTACATGATTCATGATTTCTGCATGACCATTTATATAATGATTATATACCAATTAAAAGATAATATCCTAAGCTTGTAATTTTTGATGTGGGGGTAAAAAGACCCCTATTTAAAGGCTTAAAATGGTGTTTGACTTTTTTAAGTAGAAATGAATCTCCTATACTGATCTCTTTTTAGATCCATTTGCAACATTTAAACTACTATATTTCTTTCTGCATTGTTTCTAGTTTATTAACCTTGCAAGAACTCTTCAGGCACATATGGAAGATCTCGAAAGTAGGTGGAATTTCCCCTTCCCAGACTTGTTAAATTTACTTTTGCAAATTAAACCCACAGAGCAAAACCTACCTGTATATTCTTTCTACCAAATTAGAGCTTCATTTATAGGCCTAATAATAACAAAATAATTGATTTGGGAAGATGGGTTGGGCAACTGACAGGTTTTTTAAAGCATGTTTTTTTTTTAAATTCTATTAATTTTAAGGTACAAAAGGATGTATTTTAAGTATTTTATTTTAAATAAAATTTTACTTTTGAACACCTTAATTTTAAAACTTTTAATCAAAAAGAAAACGTTTACTGGTCAAACCACACTTCTAAATCTGTTAGATTTGTGTGTGTGTGTCTATGAAATTTGACTTGTTATTCAACTTTGTTAGATTGTTAAAGGTTTTCCCTGGGTTTGTTTACAGTTCTAGGAAAATAGGGGTGAAAGATTCCTAATTCTGAGTCTATAACAGAAGCCATAGTTTTTTTTTTGCTCCTTGTTCAGGTCCTCATGGACCTTTAATAGGCAGCCAGCTCCGCCAGCAGCTCCAATCTCTTAAGATCACGTTCCAGCATTAGGACTTCTGCCTGGGCTCCTATGTGAAGGCACTTAATGCCCAAATCTTTACAGGCATCTGCACAGCTTAACCTCAAAGTCCTACAACCTCCAGGGTGCTTCATATCAGGTGGGCACAGACATTGGTGGCTCTGAAACAGTTCCTGGGAATCCAAGATTACCCTACCTATTGTACTTTTTCACCCAAAGCAACTGGCTCCCCAAGATCAGATTCCATTACACTCTTTGAAGTGTTTTAAAATATGTATTCTCCACTTGATTATCTTCTATACATCTTCAAAACACTTGGAGTGTTATCTGTAGTGTGAATAACATTTTTACCTTTAGGGAAAGCTCAGCGTCCTTTGAAGTAAAGTTTGAGAAGGACTTGGTCTTCATGGGAACCTTTTAATGCCTTGAATATTCTAAGGCATGGATTTTTGTCATTAAGTCTGTACTGTTTTTAAGTTTTGAGAGGATTAGAGGTACAACCAGATAATGCATTTTCACATATCATTATGTGTGAATGGTATATAAAGGAGTAAGTAGTATATAAAATGGGAATTCATTTGGTATATTTTTTCTTTTATACCTTCTTAGTTCAGATCCCTTGTGTAGTCTAACACAGAGATCTCTTTTTTGGTCAATTATAATTTATACTTTGCCAGATGTGATGATAGTTAATTTGTTTCACTGTATATTTTCCCCAGATTGCTTGTTTTGTTTTTTAAACTAACATTCTCATTTAGAATTTAGTTTCCTAAACATAGCAGTGTCTACTCCCAACATATGAGAAAGATGGAGGTAAAATATACCCAAACTCAGCTGTGAGTGAAAGATGTGGGTGCTGCAAGCTTACTCCTAAGTACCAGAGTACTTAGATTCTTACCTGATTAGTACTTAGAATATTACCCTGAATTTTCTTCTCCTGTGGAGTTAATCAAATAGAAAACATGAGAAGTTCCCTGAAAAGCTGTTTTATTTTTTAGTTTGATATTTCTCCATGATACAGCATAAAACTTAACCATAGGATTTACTCATTCATGAGCTAAGTATATGCTTGATACCATTTATTAAAAATGGACTTAAGATTTCTGCAAGATAAATAGACTGAAATGTGGAAACTTAGTTTCATCCATACACGTAGCATAATTTTTTTGTTGATTCCATTTGTTGGGTGCTCTTAAATATTGGGTCCAGTATTAATACAAGAAGAGTATACATTTAGCCTTTCTGCCCTTGATAATAGGGGAAATGCTGGTTGGGTGTTTATTTTAGTGAACTTCCATTTTCCTCAACACATAGAACAGTTTATAGAATACATAGTTTTTTACTTATGTCTTTCCTATAGACATTCTAGGATGTGTATTTTAAACTTCTGAGCTACTTTAATAATAAATTGATGTCAGAAATATGCAAAAATGATGTTTCTGACAATGTGGAAGCATAAGAATAATCTCAACAAAAGATTTTTATTGAGTCCAATTATTTTAACTTAGGCTGTGTCTATATAAAGCTTTTTTGACTAAATAGAGCTTTTCTTGGCATTGTATAGACATAGCTTTTGACGTAAATTGCAAGAACACCCATAACCTATTCTGTGTACATTTTTTTTCATTCTCATCGGATGCATCAAACATGCAGCAGTAATAAACCAGATTCTACTCAGGTGTGTGAGAGCACTTGCCTCAAGTTCATTTTTTCTCTGGTGTCTATATCATTAGCTACTATGAACACAGATTGATCTCAGCTTTTTAGAAGACGTTTCTTGAAGCACATTTTTAAGCATTTTCATATTTATAAAAACTAACCTAACAGAAAGATGTTGGGGGTGGGAGCATTGTGGATCGCATCACCCACAGTCAAACCACCCTAACCCTGTCATAACTTATCATTTTGACCAAACAGTATACTAAATTGGGATTTTTATTTTACAAGTCATTGCTATTCTGGCTTCATATTTACACTTCCATTCTCATCCCCCTTAAAATCATTCTTGATCATCCTGTTTTCTTTCAACAGCTTCAGAGGATGATTCCGAAGAAGATGGAGACCATAACAGAACATTTGATATTGCCTAACTTCATATAAGACAAATGGATGATCTGTGAACAAGTGTTTATTAAAACTGGCAATTAAGTATGAATTAATTTTGTGGGGGAATGCCTATTGAATACATTGACTATATATGTGTGTGTGTGTGTATATATACACACACAACAAGTATATATATTCATTCTCAAGTATTGCTGAATTAAAATTCTGCTGGACCTTTTAACATGGCCAGTGAATCTGTTTATAAACTGGTAATCAAAAAGTATTTTTCTTTTAGGTGAGTGGGAAAGTGTTACCCTTGTTTTAGATATCTAAGCAATGCTGATGACTCTTTTTTGTGTTCTGATTACTGCAGTCATATTTACGAAAAAAGGTTCATGTTTTAGTCTCTTGCTAGTGAAAAAAGTGGGACAAAATATGCTTTTGAAATAAAAATGGCAAATGGCACCTAATAATTTTTCCTTTCAAAATGCCTTACGTTGCAGTCTCATTTTCATAATTATTTGCTTCCAGTGTTTCTAAAAAATCAACTGGGGAGTAAGTTATGAAAGCATATATATTAGGTTTCCAAATTTAATATGAATTATAAATTCACTTAGCAATAAAATCTAATTTTTAAAAAATATATAAGTATAAAATGTATAAATGATGGATAAAGTTTTGTATTGATTTGCAAAATGCAGATTATATTTGATAGGCCATAGTATGTAGATATTCCTTTTAGGAATATTACAGCTGTAAAATATATCAGAATTGCCCGTCAAATGCTATTTGGGAAAAAAATTATTGCAATCTCAAGTTAACAGAATATTTTTAATCCCACATTTAAAGTTTAAAACACTGGTTTTCAATGTGTTTTTTAGTGTTGTCACTGCTTTATAGATAAATATGATATAAATAACCTGTTTGGATCCTGGTCGTTTTTAACTCTTCCTTGGTAATTCTGAGCATTTATTTAGTGACTTAATATTTTTCACGACTTTTGGAGAACAGATGAACATTACCTACTCACCATGAATAGATCTACACTGTGGTCATGAGTTGTGTATACTTTCATAACACTGTATATTTCCTCTGTCAACAGCCTTAGCATACACTTTTAAACACCTTCAGGTGGTTTCAGATTAAATAAAGTCTTATGTTACAGCAACGAACTACATTTTCAGAACCTAAGTAGAAACCATGTAATTTCTCAAATGTGAATCAACAGTTTGCCCACACGTAGTTTGTTGGTCTTAATGTAAAAACCTTGGCTGGAAATAAAGTGCATACTGATTGATTTACTTTATAGTTTGAAATGTTTCCTTTTAAATTGGTGCTCAGAGTAGACTTCAAACATTAGAGCCAAGAACTTTATTAAATAAAATCCTGTTTCATATAAAAATATATAACTTTCTAAAACATTTGCTCAACTCACAGGTTACCTTTGCATTGCCTTAAAGAAAAAATACAAAATTTAAGGATGCCAGTTTCAGTATCTTGTCCAGGTCTTTAGGGATGCTTTGAGTTTGAAACATTGACACTTTTAATAGAACTCAGCATGCAAATTAAGTATCTTCTGCTTAACCCACAAAACTTTTTATTTAAAAATTTAAATAGTAGAAAACATTCCATTGGCATGCAGTTTATAGTTTTGTTATATGAAATGCTTAATGACAGATACACAGTGGCTTGAGCTTTATAGTATTCTCATAGTGCCTTAGTACCACTTACTGTTTCATATTTCAGTATTGTATAAGCTTCCAATACCCTGTAAGTATGAGTTAGAGGGAATAAGGAAAGTGTTTTCACTGGTTGTTACTTTTAAACCCTAACAAATAGAGACCATATGTAGAATGCAAATTCCTAGGAAAATGAAGTTGTAATACTGTTCTCTCTAGATACTTGCCAAACCTAAGAATTTATATTGTCCTTATTAGCTAGAACCAAGATGTTCAAAAAAGAAATTCATACATTTTGAATGTAAACAAGAACTTTGTTATTCTTAATGTTAAAAATAAATACAGATTTGACCGATCCAGTTAGCTGTTGACCACCAAATAGATACAAGGGCTGGTTACAGATGTTCTGATACATGAAGAAAATTAACAGTTACTACTTCACTACCAGGGACCTCTAAGAACTTACTTGAAAGATGAAATCAAATGTGGAAAATTAAATCAAGTTAAAGCAGCCGTTTTGGAAGAGCTACCACTGGGTAGAAGTTATCAAAATGAACAGAAGAAAATTAGTTGTATGGGAGTTAAGTGGAAGGGGAGATTTTACAGCAGCACTGTCCGATAAAACTTTGTGATAATGGAAATGTTCTATAATTTGTTTTGCTCAACATGGTAGCTACTAACTACACGTGTTTTGAGCATTTGAAGTGTGCCTCATGCAACTAGGGAACTGAACGTAAAGTTATATTTAATTTTAATTTATTTAAATAGCCACATGTAGCTTGTGGCTACCATATTGGACATTGTAGAAATTTGACTATTAGAGAAAATTTTAAGGAAGAGTTAGGATCATGCCTAGTTCTTAAAGGACTGGTAGAACTTGAATAGAAAAAGGAAGGAATTCCAGTCTGTTCACTATTTGTACCACTCGGCTTATCAATAATAAAATAGACAGTATCCAAGATCTCAGAAGTTTAAAGCTCTTACAGATTGTAATTGTTTTGTGGACTAAAGCTAGTGTAACATCTGCTCGTTTAGTACCACATAGCCACACTGTATAGTCCTGTCATCACTTCGTAGTTTTTCCTGTGTCAGTAAACAATAGTGCCATCAGTTGTGATGAAGGATGTTATTCATAGTGCCAGTGTAAACGGATGGCACAAGCTGGGGCTTTGTTGCCATTGGTCAAGCATGAGAGAGAGTGTATGTTCCCTTAAGTATTCCCCATAACTGATGGCATGTGGGTTAGGGAGAGAGATGACTTCTTTGAGCTTCCAAGTTTCTAAATAGAGTAAATCTAATTTTATGTGAACTCTGCATATTCTTTATCTTTTATTTTTAAGCCATAAAGGATAAGGAAAATCATTCTTGCTTCAGAGCTTTCATTTTCATTTTTTACCCCCAAAATGATTTTCACCTTTGTCTTAAAATGTACATTCACTGAAAACTTTGAGCATCACCACTACAGTAGTATGTAGTGTTTTTCTAGAGTTTTTGCTTACATAGTTTTCATGTCATTGAATGGCTAGTTCATCAGTAGTTGGAGAGCATGAGATACCTTAGGAACAGATCTGGTGGTAGGAGAAAAATCCTTAAAGGGGCTCTATGGTAAAAGTGTTAGCCTCACTGCCAGCCTCCTCCACACCTTCCTGGTATAGCTGTAATCTTACTGTTTCAAAAAATCTATAAAATTTTGTTGAAGTTCTAACCATTTGTGATCAATGCTAAATACTATTTCTGCTCCAAAGTGATGTTCTAAAGTAATGAAATTGTAAAATTATGTGAAATATGGGCTCCTTAAAATCTACAATATTTTCTACATCTAACTCAAAAAGGAAGATAAAAAATATTAGAGGAATTATCTGCCATAGTAAATAGCATGTGGATCTATTTAACAGTCTTTTATTTCCCGTATCTTGTTTATTAATAAAGGAGCAAGACCTAGAAACTGTAAAGACCTGGTGATTGTAAAACTACAGTGGTAGGGAGAGTTTTGGTTTTGTTTTTGTTTTAATTCAACTATAACCCACGGTGGTTCAATTAAATCGGAAGGAAGATAGAGCAGTAGACTGGGTTATTTTTATCTGCTTTACTACTTTGGGCTTTATTTAAACTGTTTCAAGTGAAAGGTGCATTTAGGGAAGTGGTTAAAACTACTAAATTATATCTATGATTATTTTTTAAAAGTTCTTATAAGAACCTAAAGATCAATTTTTGTCACAGCGATTACATGAGAATAATGAACGTTACTGGAATAAGGAAATAAACCATAAAAACTAATTTTCATTGCCAAGTTTTACATTAAAATCCTGCACAGGAATCACTGTCAAAGTATTTGACACCTTAATCTGAGATTTCCAAAATATTAGTCAAATTGAACAGCATACTCGTTTTCTTCTGCAACTACCAAAACACAGTCGTCGTTATAAGGTGATTGGGGTGCAGTTGAAAAAACTGTGGTGAAACCAGAATCCAAGTTTCTTTTGTACAGGAACCAAATGATTGCTCCCAAAACTGTCAAAATTACTGTGCTAGCAATCACCAAAGCTGATATTAAAATGTGGTTATCTGAAAAGGAAAAGACAGAAAAAAAATATATATATATATATGGAAATCAGTTACTGGTATTGCACTTGGGGGAGCACAAATATAGTTTCATCATGTACATATTTGCCTAAAATTAAGGATCTTCCCACATTGATAAAATAAATTACACATTTATTATGCTTCTTAGCTTGAACAACTGTCATTCAGGATTTCAACCAAGGTTTACAATTTGCCACTCTACTTTGAGATCCTAAAATGGAAATCACCCACACTCAGGGTATACTACAGTTCTGTTTGTCTCCCTTGGGTTTTACTTTATATTTACTGCTCTTTTCAAGACTAGTTGTCTTTAGAGGTTTGTTTACATTAATGAGGCTTATTGGTTCATCTGGTGTTTGGCATTTAAAATTTGTTCCACTGAAAAAACCAGAAATGGCAATAAAAGTATCCTCCACCCCCCCTTTTTTTAACATTTTTTATTTGAGAGAGCGTGAGTTGAGGGGGGGGCAGAGGGAGAAGCAGACTCCCCACTGAGCAGGAGATACAGGGCTCCATCCCAGGACCCTGAGATCATGACCTGAGCTATCCAGGTGCCCCTTTTTTTTTTTTCTAATTTCAAGTATCTATGTGTGTATTCCTTAGTTATGTTCAACCTTAACAGTTCTTGGCTATTCAAAACCCTTGTAATCTTTCAGTAAGTCAGTCCAGGGAAATTAACTCAGTTTAGGAGTTAGGAGGAGGTAAATGCTTTGGGGGCAAGGTATTTGTATTACATTTAGTAGCACCCAAAAGTATGTCCAAAAAATCTCAAATTATTTTCTCTTTATAGATGTATTTTTACATTATGGTTATTTGTACCTATATCCTCCTTTAAGCTATGCTTTTAAAATGATAAAATGTAAAGATTAGCAAAGAAAATCTGGCCAAAAGTTACTTGTTAAAGTGAGAGAGAACCATTGATATTTTTAAAATACTGACAGGCTTCTTTAAAAAAAAATAACACAGGAGGAGTTGGGTAAATGGCCACAGCTGAAATCTCTCCTTTTTGGTCCTAAAATAAAAGTGTGTAGTAGTCACAATTTGTTAAGGTGTGGGTTGTATTCTTATTGGAGACCCTCAGATAAAAAAATGTGTATCAAGAAAGCGGGGCACATTGTAGTTAAACATTTATGAAATACGTATTTCTTAATGAATTCAGAGCCCACTCTGGATCAAATGTTGCCAGATCTTTCAGCTATTCCTAATAGGGTTCTAAGAACCACTTAGACCTACCAACTCTTTTCTACACATTTCCATCTGCATATATCCTCCCCCACCCCCGTATACATGTGCATAGCTTAAAATTCAGAGTTCTACAAGATATGTAACAAAAAATCCTGTGCTCCTTCTGCCCTACTACTCACTCACCCTGCATTCCCATTCCTGGTAACTTCTGTTATTTGCCTCCATGTTTAAAATAACATGCTTACACGGCTTTTCTTGATTCAGTTTTTTAATGTCAAATACACATAACAAAATATACCGTCTTAACCATTTTTAAGTTGACAGTTCTATAGCATTAATTCACATTGTGCTGTGTCACCATTTATCCACAGAACTCTTCATCTTTCAAACCCGAGACACTATATATTAAACAAGAATGCCCCATTCTTCCCGCCCCTCCCATCAGCCAGCATTTTACCTTGTGTCTATAAGGTCGACTACTCCAGGTACTTCATATAATTGGAATGAAATCGTATTTGTCCTTTTGTGACCAGCTTATTTCACTTAGCAACTAATTTCTTCCAAGTTTGTGCATGTTGCAGGACGTGTCAGAATTGCCTTTTTTAAGGCTAAATAATGTTATATAGCCATGTTTTGCTTATCCATTCATCTGTCGATGGACACTTGGGTTGGCAACTTCCACCCGTGGCTATCGTGACTAATGCTGCTCTGAACGTGAGCATACACATCTCTGATACCTCTTTTCACTTCTTTCGGGTATATACCCAGAAGTGGAGTTCCTGGATCGTAGGTATTTCTATTTTTAGTTTTTTGAGAAGCTACCATACTGTTGTCTACCATTTTACATTCTTACCCAGTAATGCACAAGTGTTCCACTTCTCCTTATCTTTGTCATCACTTGTTTTCTGTTTTCTTGTTTTTGTACATAGCCAACCTAATGGCTATGAAGTGGTGCCTTCCTTGATTTATTTTTTTAAGTAAGCTCTACACCCAGTGTGCTTGAACTCACTACCCCAAGGATCAAGAGCCCCATAATTGGCCAACTGAGCCAGCCAGGTGCTCCTTTGCTCTTTTTGATTTTTTTTTTTTTTTAAGATTTTACTTATTTATTTGACAGAGACACAGCAAGAGAGGGAACACAAGCAGGGGGAGTGGGAGAGGGAGAAGCAGGCTTCCTGCGGAGCGGGGAGCTCGATGCAGGGCTCGATTCCAGGACCCTGGGATCATGACCTGAGCCGAAGGCAGCCACTTAACGACTGAGCCACCCAGGTGCCCCTTTTTGATTTTTTTAAATATTTATTCCTATGGAAGAGTGAGAACATGATTCTCCAATATCTACATGAACTCTCAAACACTCCTTTCCTCCTCTTCCATCATAGTTCTAGCAAGCCCTAAACAGAGAAAAAATATCCACGATACATATGACAACTCATATCTAGAATTAAAAAAAAAACAAACTACCAATCGGGAAGGCAATCCAATTAGAAATAAGGACAAAAAACCTGAAGAGCCATATCAAAAGAACACATTGAAATGGTTAATAAGTGTGTTAAAGTACTTAACATTATTCATCAGGGAAATGAAAATTAAAATGACAGATTGCTACATGTAACATCTGAATGGCTAAAATCAGGTTGACTTTCATGGGATGGATGTGTAGAATGAATAGAACTTGCATGCACTGACAGGAATGTAACAGTTCAACCACTGAAAAATTATGTGATGGTTCTAATAAAAGCTAAACATATTAGCTATCCTATGACTTTGCAATTCTACTCTTTGAAATGTACTCCAGGAGAGTGACAAAACAGATCAACTGAGAATGTTCACAAGCAGCTCTTACCATAGTAGTACCAAACTAGAAATGATCCAAATATACGTAACTAGAGATTGGACAAATTGTGATATATTTATAAAATACTATGCAACAGTAAAATAGGTACAACATATACCCAACATGGGTGAATCTTAAAAAACTGAAAGAAGCCAGTAGAATTACATTTATGTTAACAACAAGCAACTCTAAACTATGGCGATAGAACTCAATAGTGGTTAACTAGGATAGATGGTGGTAGGAGCTACATTTATTGGGAAAGGGCATGAGGGAAATTTTTAATGTAACAGAAATGTACTGTATCTTGATTTGAGAGAGAGATAGCCAGGTGTATACAGAGGCAACCATCAAACTATACACTTAAGATCTGTGCAACTTACACCTCAAAGAGATTAAATGGGGCACCTGGGTGGCTTGGTTAAGTGTCCAACTCTTGATTTTGGCTCAGGTCATGATCTCAGTTGTCAGATGGACCCCTGTGTCTGACTCCACGCTGACCATGGAGCCTGTTAAGATTCTCTACCTCTCCCTCTTCGTCTGCCCCTCCCCCCCACACACGCACACACGATCTCTAAAAAAAAAATAAAAATTATACAACCAATTGGCAAAAATCCACAAGTTTTGTAACCCTTTGTTTCTGGGAATGCAAAATGGTGCAGTTCCTCTTACTATTAGTATTGATCCAAGCTCTATAGCCACTTTCAACCCATTTACAGGGAATCTAATCTTTAGATAACAAGTATTTGTGCGAGGCAGATTCATTCATTGCAGCACTGTAATAGCACGTTTGGAAACAAGCTAAGAAGGATCTGGGGCTGGTTAAATAACTATATCCATACAATGAAAGAGTATTCAGTTGTAAAGAAGAAGTTCAATCTATAGGTAATGATACAGAGATACCTAAAATATATTAGTGAATAAAAGGGGCAAAATAAGTCCTATATCTCAGTTTGCTTATTTTGGCAAAAAGAAATAAGACATTCATTTAAAGAAGAAACTGAACGGGTGCCCATTAAGGATAAAGGTAGAACAGGGTAGATGGGGGCAAGTTGGGAGACAGATTTTTAGTGTTTGCCTCATTATAATTTTGCTTTTTGAGCCATGTTAATGTATTACCTGTTCTTTAAAAAGGATTTAGTAAACCCTTAAGACAGATGCTTCATGAATTACAACTATGAGGTCAAATTTTTTTAAATGAAAGATTGCAGAATGACTGCCTACAAAAACAATGGAATTCAATGGGAAATATTTTTTGGTGTTTAAAAAATTCGTAACCTGCAGTTATATTTAGAATGTCAAGTCTTATTCCTAAACTAAGAGACCCTTCTAAATTCTTACAAAAGTTGTTCTACTTTATGTTATACAATTAATTTTTAAGGGGTCTTTAATATTTTAACATTTGAATCTTAATATTACTTGTGGGAAAAATTTTAACAAAAGACTCACCTGATAAATATTTCTTTTCATATGGGACTAAAAGAAAAAAGAAAATTAAAATTAAAATTCAAGTATGTTCATTCTAAGTTTGCCTTTAAACACTTTCAGAATAGTTAAAAATGAACCCCTTATTTAATAGCTTAATATTATCCATATTTCTATTGCTTGGTCAATTGTGTTTTCCATTTTGAACAAAGGTTTTTTTTGTTTGTTTTTTTAAAGAAGATATAGAGGTCTAATGTAATGCATTAGCTTGGTTGGTGGAAAAGTATTAGGTAACTCAAGAAAAAGTGATGAGGTGAAGAAAACAGAATTTTGGTAGAAAAGTATAGAAAACGAAGCTAGTAAAATTGAAGTGTACACCTGTGATCTTATTAGTATGGATTCACTATTTCTGATGTTTCAAAGTTACAGTTTAAAAATTTGGTTTATAATAATGGTGCCCTGAGACTTCATACATGAAAAGAACCAACTGTTTAAAATCCAATAAATACTGGAAGTTGAATTCTACTACCATAAAACTATGAGAAACTTAGTATAGTCACTATAAACTGTAGTTAAGAACCCTGCTGAGGCAAAAAAAAAAAATAAAATAAATGTAAAGGGAAAAACAGCTTTGATTTACAGTAGAAGTAGAAGGGGGTAAATCCTAAAGAGGCGAAATGGGGAAATGGCCAATGTGTCTCAGGCATCCTGAAATCATATTTTGAAATTTTAAGTGTTTTTAATGGGAAAACAATTCTAAAACTTAGAACAAACTTTGATGTTTAATAATAACATCAAAATACTGTGGGACACAATAATTATATTCATTAGAAAGCATTCTGATGAGGAGGAGGGGACGGCTGTAGCCTGGGAGTGGTGGGTGTGTGGAGGGGCAGGGGCCAGGTTCAGAGCTCAGCCCTTGGGAAAAAGGAAAAAAGAAAAGCATTCTGAGAGGTCAGAAGAAAAATTACACTTTAATCCAGAATGAATTATAAACTACAACGCGGTTTTTCTTCATTTGTCTAAACAAAGGATGTTAGTACTTGTACAGGGTCAAATTCTTTGTAGTAAACATTAGAATTTTGGAAGTCAAAGTATTCTTCACCACTTCTGTTTAATCAAATCAAATGCAAGGGAACTGAGGATTCCTTCAAACAACAGAAGAAATTTTTAACTTCTTGTAGGCTCTTAAGTATAAGATAGGATAAAAGTTATGCCTGGTTCACATAATCTTGGTCCTACCTCTGAAATGTAAGAGAATTACATTTGACTTCTGAGAGACTTGCCAGCAAACCATCCTAATATGTTCTGAAATCTTTCTTACTCCCTCTAATTTATTGAGGCATAACTGTCTCAGAGAAAATTATTTTAAAACCAGCCCTACTTTCCCCACCCCTCTAGGAATGGAAAAAAGTCCTCAGTTATACTTACTAGCTGATTTACAAAGGGTTCCTTCCATAGAAGAAATCTCACAATCTCCTTTTTTCCATTCACCTGTCTTGGTGTGCAAAAAGGCACAAGTGTCGACCAGATCCTCACCATCCTCTTGGTCTGTCCACTTATCAAATGTCATATTTGACTGATCAAGCCACTTGAAACGTGCATCTGTCAGTTAAGAATATTTTCATCAGTAGGACAGTTTTAAACCGTTAGAGCCATAGAAAAGGGTCTAGGATTAAAGGTGGGAAGTTACTAAGGTATGTCTGGTCAAAACTTTTCATTGTGGGATTTAAATTAGGAGGAAGAATATATCTTGTGTACAAGCACATCAAGCCAAGCACAAGTACAAGCCTGGGTGGCTCAGTCCGTTAAGCATCTGCCTTCGCTTCGGGTCATGATCTCGGGGTCCTGGGGTGGAGATCCAAGTCGGGCTCCCTACTCAACAGAGAGTCAGCCTCTCCCTCTCTCCCTACCCCTCCACCCCACTTGTGCTGTCACTCTTCCTCTCTCTCTCTCTCGCTTTCTCTCAAATAAAATCTTTTTTTAAAAAAAGATATTGGTTGAAGAAGGTTCTATGGATGGGGTGCCTGGGTGGCTCAGTTGGTTAAGCATCTGATTGTTGATTTCAGCTCAGGTCATGATCTCAGGGTTATGAGATCCAGCCCTGTGTTGGGCTCTGCGCTGGGGATGGAGCCTGCTGGGGATTCTCTCTCTCCTCTCTCTCCCCCTTTCTCCCTCTTTAAAAAAAAAAAAAAGTTCTTGAAAAGAATGTAATATAGTAACATTTTCATGGGGAAATAGCCAAGAAAATTAAAATATTAATAGTAAACTTAGTAGTTTCATTTCATTAATTATGTATGTACTTTTGTTTTCTACAGGGACACTAAATACATAGTATTGCTCTGATAGTTCAATTACCTTTATCCTATTGTTGACACACTAATATCTATGACCCTACCATATTAGAAAAATACTGAGCCTAGAACTGTATTTTAATCCAGACAAAAGAATCAACTTTGATTCTTCTCTGTGAAACACACTGAGCTGCTCAGGGAAAAGCTGCCGTCAGTACAGGTCATGTACTGGGTACAGGGTGCACACTGAACAAACAATACCCGGACACCACAGGAAACACCAACTTGAACTAGAGAACTGAAGAATCTCAAAGTCATCAATTTTAGTACCATTTAAAAAAAGTGATTTCCTGGGGCGCCTGGGTGGCTCAGTTGGTTGAGCAACTGCCTTCGGCTCAGGTCATGATCCTGGAGTCCCGGGATCGAGTCCCACATCGGGCTCCCTGCTCCGCAGGGAGTCTGCTTCTCCCTCTGCCCTCTTCCCTCTCATGCTCTCTGTCTCTCATTCTCTCTCTCTCAAATAAATAAATAAAATCTTTAAAAAAAAAAAGTGATTTCCTACAAGGGTAAATATTACTTACCATCTGTGTCAAAAAACATGCCTAGTAGGATATCACTTGGGGCTTTCCATTGCTTTTTCAAAGTATCCAGTATAAAAGCATTTTCTTCTTCATTATGTATGCTTACCATGTCTGCTCCTGGAATTATTTTTAGGTAGGAAAAAAAAAAGCATGTTTCCAGAATCAATGAAAATCACATGAAGTATATAAAAGTTATGCATTATTATAATACTTATAATAACATTACACTTATACACCTTTTTAAGATTCAGCTTGAGAATATGCACATTTCTGAAAATATGAGAAAAGTAAAATGGGATAAATTGGGCAGAACCATTTTATACTCTATTTCATTCACAGAGTCGGTAATTTACAGACAACGGAACAAAACCTCATGCGAGGCTTGAGCAATCAACACATTTTCTGCCTCTCTCAACTTCACTCTTTCCCATGACTTCTTGCTCTAGCACTCATGGTTTCTCCTGTCGTCACTGCACTACCGTAAGGAGGCCAAGCTCTGACTACACCCAGGAGAGCTAAAAACTGTGAGAGCAACCTGCCAGAACAGCTCCAAGACCTTGTGAAGCTCAAGCAACAGTGTCTGACCGGCCTCCTTAACTGCCTGCCTGTGCCTGTTGCCCAAAGCCCTGCGCCTTCCCCTGTCTTTGTGGTCCTCAGAAAAGTCTCGGCTTTGGGAAACTGAGCGAGGAGGTCCTCGCTCTCACTAGATGGTTGATCCTTCCTGGGGCTCTTTTGCACGATTCCAGAGCCAAGACCAGCAGCCATCTGTGTGTGTCACATACATTAGCTGTCGTCCTTACAGTCTAAGCACCCCATAACTGTCAGGAGTGACTACCCTTCCGAGAGCCCTTTAACCCTGCTTCGTAACCTAGACAAAGATCTCTCTCACAAATTAAACATCCCACTATCTGTACTACAACAAATATAACTACACGGAGAAACAAGGAAGAAGTCTTGCCTACTCTTAAATTACATGCTTCCAAAACCATCCTGACTTAACAAAGGCTCCCGAAAATGTGAGAATATTGTCTTAGTTCAGGGGTTCTCCGCCTTGAGCAAGCATCAGAATCACCTGGACGGCTTGTTAAAACAGTGCTAGGCCACATCCAGAGTTTCAGATTCAGCCAGAGTGAGATGGGGCCTGAGAATTTACATTTCTAACAGGTTCCAGGTGACGCCACTGCTGCTGATCCAGGGACCACACTTTGAGAATTATAGGAGGCTTAAATCATAGGCTGCTCTATTTATGACATCACGCTCAAGTTGATAATGATTTTCATAAGTTAACAAATGGAAAAGACAGAGCTCCTGTTACATACTGATATGGTAAAAAAAATTTGTATTAGGTGACCACTTCTACATCTTTTAAAAGGGGCTTGTACAAAAGAAGAAATTTAACTACAGGGGAAAGAAAATTACTATAGGGCCAAAAAATCTCCCCCAAACCATATTGTATTATTAAAGAAGAAAATCACAAACTCGTAGCCTAAAGCTCCATTATAAATAAAGAAGCAAACACCTTAATAGAAAAAAAAATGAGTTTCAAACTGTAAAAAAGATAATTCACCCTCATAGAAGCAAATAGAACACAAGAAATGTGTGAAAAATGCAATCTCACTGATAAAGAAATGAAAATTAAAATAAGCAGACTTCCAGGCTTACAGATTAAACAGTGCTGGCCTTGGGTATAACAAAATAGGAACTCATAAGTGGTTAGGTGGAGTAAAAATTAGTACAGCCTTTTTGGAAACAATTTGGCAAGATATGTCAAAAACCCTAAAAACACATTATTTGACCCAGCAATCCTTAACAATTATGCTAAAACAATCATAGGCTCTGTGTTCAAATAAACACAATTATTAATGGTTATCACATGACAATGAAAGACTGAAAATAATGACAATGAAAGACTGAAAATAATAGCCAATATTAGAGGATTAATTAAATCAGTTATGGAATTTCTGTACATTATTAATGTACAGATTAATGTACATTTATTAGGGAATATGCATTGTATTTTTACTGCCACAGACATTTTTTAAGGGAAAATGCAGATTACAGGGCAGTTTGCCAACTACGATCCCTTTTCTTATACATTAAAAAAAAAAAAAGTATTTTTTATAAATTTGCCTGGGGGGAAAAGCCTAGGATACTTACCAAAATGTTAACAGTCATTACATTTCCTTAGGGTGGTGCAATTTAGGGTGATTTTGATTTATTTTATTTTAAGATTTATTCATTTATTTTAGAGGGAGAGAGTGCGGGGGGGAAGGGGCAGAGGGAGGGGGAGAGAGAGAATCTCCAGCAGACTCCCCGCTTAGCGAACCTGACTCAAGGCTTGATCCCACAGCCCCAAGATCGTGGCCTGGGCCAAAATTAAGAGTCGGATGCCCAACCAACTGAGCCACCCAGGGGACCCTGATTTTGTTTTATTTTTAAAAGATCTGCACACGTTTTTCTCATTTTTTATAGTGATCGTGCATAAATTGTGCAATTACCAAAAATCTTTAAAAGAAAAAAAATAATAAGACTGGCCTTTAAAATGCTTAATAATACTTTAATCCAAAGTTAAGATTCACAGGGTTCCCTGAGTCCTATCTCCATTTTTAAAAACTCTGTGATGGTTTTCTTATCCTTTCCAGCTGCTTGTCTGTTAAATGTCACACAGACTTTTCATCTGTTTTACCCTGATACTTGTATTCACGTGTGAAACGTAACCAAAATGCCACTCTAGAAAAATTCTCAAGGGAAGTATTTAACTAGGTTATAGTTTAGGCTTAAGTGTTCAGAGATGAGGTATTCATCCTTTTCTTTGACCTTGTGGCAGCCAATGGAACTTTAATGATTCTTAACCCTGTAATCTAATTAAATACTGTATAAACTTAAATTACTGTGTCAGGCAAATAAGACACACTTTCATTTTCTTTAACAAATGACTGCATAAGTCCCTGAAGAATGCATGTGCTCAAGAAAATTTTTTTTACAATGCATTACCAGTGACAGTACCTGCTGAGATGTAATCTGGGTCTTTTTTTTTTTTTTTAAGATTTTATTTATTTATTTGACACAGAGAGACACAGC